TTTTTTTTTTTTTTTTTTTTTTTTTTTTTTGGTGACCACTGAATTGTTTGCAGAAAACATGATTCGAGGTTTAGACACTGAAGAAAGCGACTTTCTTTCTAAGGTTGACAGTTTGCGCGCAGAGCAGGATCGAAAAAAAAAGGAGGTTATGACTTGTCTAACCACTTGTTAAAAATCTGTAATTTTATGGTATATTTCTGCTGATTCTTTGATTTAAGAGTTATATCATGATTTTTAAGGAAGAATTTTCTGTTTAGTTGTTACATTCTTACAGCATGCTCAGTAAATGTAATTTTAAAGGAAGAAATGGCAATATTAAGCGAGTTTAATAAAGCACGTTCAAAAGAAATGGACGAGAGTGCAGTTTCTGCAGTCCCGCAACTTAAACCTCCAGCAGTTAACAGTAAAGGTAGCAAGGAAAGTAAGCAAGCTGCTTTAATTAAAGGGGCGATAAAGCGAAAGAGGTAACCTTCAGCTTGCTATTTCACAGGAATTCACGGAAATTATTTGGCGTTCAAGCGAAAGAGGTCTTCTGATTTTTTAGTTCTGGGGATGTTCCTGATAGCGATAACAAAAAAATTGCAGTCGTAAATCCAAAGCCGAATGGGGCTAAACCTATAGCTGTTTCAGCTATTAAGATCATTGGGCATTTGCCCGGGATAGTGCATTATTCTTCGTCAAGGTAGTCTTATGTTATTAGAGTTTGTTTTGCAAAACTATATTTTTTGGTTCTTGCAAGTGCGACTTTCTGAATAAATTTTACTAATGTTTAATCAAATTGTCAAAAAACTTAATTATTATTATTAATGAGATCTGGGTTTCCTGTGGCAGCTCAAGCCGATTACTCTGAGAATTCGCTAATTGCAAAAACGGTACTTACCATTTCAGCTGTTGCCAAACATTATTTTTCAGTGATTCTGATTCGACTTCCGATAGTAATTCTGATAGCACAGATGATATGCCAGTTTTACCAGTCCTCATCCAAAGTACACCAGAAAAGAATGAGAAATCGAAGCCGTCTTCCACAGATGACACTGAAGAAGAATAAGCTTCTCAAAGTAATAGTTTACTGCTTTCTTTTAATATAAGAATTATTTTTTTCAAAATTGGAACGAAAGCTTACCTTTCTTTCTACTTTTCTTCTAGCATAAGGATTATTTTTTTAAAATTGGAATTAAAACTTTTGGATTGCGCTCTCGCATGTCGTTAAAAGGTAGATTGGTATATAAACATTTAATTCATAAAAAGTCCAAATACTTCAAAAATTGTAGAAAATTAACTTTTTTTTGCGAAGACTACTTGCAATCTCCTCACTTATTAGAAAAGCCTTAAAATCTTGTTTAGAAGATCACGTCAAAAAATTATTTTGCTCATTGTACGTTGTAATTAACCAATTTCGTTTCTTACTTTTATAAGTTTAGGATTAATGAACTCACGTAGGTAATAAACAGTTTTATATTTGTGTAATTTGTAGTCGTCATTATAGAGCAGACCTGTACCGTAGTGTGACTGTGAAACGAGCTTTTGTAACACCGTGCAAAATGGTGAGCTGCGGCCGTCATTAATTATTGATTTGTGAAGGAGGTCAAAAGTTATCAATGTCGTTGAATAACTGTTGAAGATTAAAGAGGGAAATGGAAGCATCTTTCATAATGAACTTGAATGCAGCTAGATGATTTGACTTCGCTTGTTGCATACGGTGGGTCGCGCATTTTCGTTGCTAAGTTATGCTTTTATTTTGAAATCTTCACTAAGATTACCGTTGAATACAAATTTTGGACTGCACAATACGTTGAAGCACACTGCTGGCAACCGATATGTCGCCTATAATGTGTTTGAAAAAAGGTGCAGTTCAAGCGTATTGTGTGTACTTTGTCAAGATACGTCTGCGGTACGTCTACATTGTGGAAATACCGCTGCTAAAATTCAGCTTTCTCGTTTGCTTTTTTTACGTGATAGATACTTGTTATCTGAGTAAATATGGAGCGAATTAAAAGGCAGCCTGTCTTATTATTAAATTAAGCTTCATTCAAAATAAGTGAAAGACTGTCCTGTAAAGAAAACAATTTATGCATAGGCTCCCTCTTTCTAAAATTGAGCAGATTGCGCACAGCCAGGAAATCTCAAAGTTTTTTGTATACGGATGCGGTCGGATTGGAGTTATTTAGTACAGCTTTACTGAATGGCTTGCTTAGTGATGAAGGAAATTTTGCACTAGTTGTACAAACACAATTCATTTGTTAATGGTGCGGGTTCATATTTTATCGGGGTTCGTAAGCTTATAATCTATTTTCTTTGGTGTTAAAAAAAGAACAGGTGGAAACAATTTAAAATGAAACATCTCATTTTTAAACTTATTTTTTGTATATAGAGTCATGCATTTTTAAGGATTAAGCAACTCAGGAAACCACTAGACAAACTTAGGAATTGTGATAGTAAATATATCATGTGTATATACAAGTTGCTTAGAAATTTGCAGTTTCAGAAAAATTTGCAGTTTAAGTCTTATTATATATGGTTTTTTAATTTTATGATGCTTTGCTTTTGAACCTCAGACGATGTTACAAGCAGTTTATTGTACTGATTTATGAAGCTCATTTATTACTTTTGTCTGAGTTGTAAATGGTGAATGCATGCAATTTACTCACTCGTTACAACGTTTTTTTTTTGTGAGTAGGACAGTTTTGGAAGTTTGATGACTTATTGATTCATTTTAAATTTTTAAATCGGGTTGTTGTGCTCCTAAATTAGTTTTTATCCTCATTGGGAGTAAATAGACGGGAACGTTTAGTGTTTGTTCTTCTTTTCAAAAACTTTTGTAAGCTTTTGCGGTTTTCTTTTAAGGTGGCTCTAGTTTGAGATTGAAGCTTTTTGAGTGGCGGTGATGGTAACATTTGAAATTTAGGATTGTTTTTTGCATTTGGCTGGGTATTTACAAAATCTTTCTGTTGCTGTAAGATTTACGGGAGGTTTTTGGTGTTTAAATATTACTTTTGGCGGATTTGTAAAATCGTTCAGTGAGTTCTCTTAGTTGTTATTCCATATTGCTGTAGTCCTACCGTATTAACATTTGTGATTTTAAGAAGGGTATAATGAGGTGGGTAACTTAGAAGACGTGAGGTATAGCATAGTTACGCAGGGTGATGACTGAGGAGTGTGATTCATTGCAGGGTCCGAAGTTACGTTGAGAGTGGGTAGCTTTGAACTCTAGGTTTGGTTTCTTATAGGTTAGAAGCCTTTAGGTTTAGAGGGGATGTAAGTGGCAGTTTAAAAAACTTTTTGTGGAAGCTGTTCAGTTTTTGTTTTAGCGGTGTAGAAGGTTCGAATTCTTGTTTTTGTAGCAGAAGGTTTTTTAATAAATTTTCTTTGGAAGATCAATATCTCTTACAGTTTATTAACCTCTATTTGAGAGAACTGTGTCTTTGATCAGTGGTCTAACAGTTGTCGAGACGGTGAAACACTAAATTGAAGTTTTACGGTCAAGATTATCGTTTCCTCGCAGTCGTCAGTCTAATCATCCATTCCTGAAAATTGTTTATTTCCACCATTGATTTTGCCGGTTTTCGTTTAAATAGTTATTCCTGAACTTATTGTACCTGCAAATGGAGCATCCTAAATTTGCTCTTATCCAACATTCAAATCGACATTGTAGAGGCGATTTTTTTTTTCTTTATATTACGGGATTTTTCCTCAGTATAACCAAAATTGTGATAACTAGTTAAAGCAGTTTCGGCCTACTGTAATGGATAAATGCCGAGAGGCAAGTTTTTTGATATTTTAGAAGTTAAGGATATTCACTTCAGAAGGCATTTAAATTTTACCTGTGTAAGGATTGTCAGGAAGCTGCATAGGCGGGCTCACTGAGGATTTTGTTTCAGATGAAAAGTAAAACACTTTGGGTAAACAGAGAAAAGGTTTTTTAATCGCTTTTAAAAACCTGTTTATACTTTATTTGAAGGGGACAGATCTGAAAAGCATTAGATTTGGGATAAAGCGGTGGTTGTTGGACGGCAAAGAAGGAAGGCCATTTTTCAGTTCCTATTTGACAAATCTTACTTATTGCGAAACTCTAAGAATTTTATTAAGTTTAAGTCTGCAGTGTAATTTACCACAAAAAAGGAAAAAACAACGTATTCAGTTCTGCTAATATTCAAGCTTTGATTTCCCAAAAAGGTTGTTCTATGAAGTGGATAATTGTTGGATTTCACCAGAATTCTGTATTCAGCATCATAACTGGATAAATTTTGGAGTAATGGTAAAAATTATCTTAGCACCGAATTCTTGTCACTGTACTGGTGTTGTATGTTACTCTTTTTTTCACTGTGGTTGAAGCCAAATTTATATTTAAGAAAGAGCTATTATCCAGGTTTCGGGCTTAGTGCGACTTTGATTTGAATAAATGGCAAACAAAAATGAAGAGTTTTTTAAATTCGATAACATGAGTCTTCAAAACTATTGGTATTTGAAGTAATCTTTGACTGACTTTGGGTTAATAGTGTTCGAAATTACCGTACAAGATTAATCACTTTTTTCGACTGTCAAATGCCTGGTATTTGTTGGGAACTCGTTTAATTAATTATGACAACAAAAAATTGTTGCAGTCATTGTTTTGTTTATGGGACAAAAATTAATCGTTACAAATTTAACTCTTCAAAAAAGTGTGTTTTTTTACTCAAAATTTTTTGTCGGTTATTTTTTAAGGCAACTATTTTAACATACAAGTTTAAACGACAGAAGATCCTTGCAAGCATTTGTCGGAATACATAAGTGCCGAAAAATAGTAATACTGGTTCGGGCGATAAGATATCAGAAAAAAATTGTTTGAAATGTACTAGATTTTTTGTTTCAACTTTAATAGTTTTTTGACAATATTTATTTATGAATTCTATTTTTATTTGCTAATACAATCAATGACATTTAGTGTTTAAGTGAAGCTTTTAAGATGGAACATTTTTTGTTTGATTTAATTGAAGAGATAAAGTTCAGTTTTTCCTTTTCACACATTTTGATTTTTTTCTACAGACTAGAGTGAAAATTATGGGACTGAAATGTGGGAAAAGGAATTGAAAGTTCCTTACTGCTGCGGTAAACATAGAAGGCAGGGATTTTGAAAGCAACAGTTATGGCTTCAATAATGACATAACGTCGAAAAATTGCATTATTGAATTAGTTATCAGTCGGTCAAAAAAATTTCATTCGTGTTCTGGAAAGTCATGTTGGAATCTGATGGTTTAATGACAGCAATTTTTCTTGGTGGGGATTTCTTTTGGGAAATAGAGGAATGCAAAAATTATCA